GAAGCCCACAAGTGGAATGGAAAGCTCCCTCCTGCAGCTGATTAGCTGTTTTCCTTCTCTGCCACGCACACACATTTCTCCTGATTCTGCTTTGTGAATGATTAACCCTTTGCTGTTCAGATGCACTGATCAACTATTGTCTTCCAACTTCAAATTCAAAGTATGTTACATCGTAAAAATCATAATCATTATCATCATCATCATAGTCATGGTGACCACACATCTTGTTGTCCCGGGAGCATGGCAAAGGTTTTTTTAGGGATGCACCAATCCACTTTTTTACTTCCGATCCAATCCCGATACCTAACTCTGAATATCGGCTGATACCGATCCATTTCCGATATCATGATCATCATTGGCTTTATATGAGGCTGTAATAATCTCCTCTCAAGTACAATTTGTACAAATATATGCATGCATGTCCAAAAAGGCAACTTGAGGTAAGTTTTATTAATGTTGGATAAGTTTTAAAGTTAGAATTAAATTCTGCTAACACAAAACATGTTTCTTTTTATTCCTAGCTTTAAAGTGGATATTAAGGTGATTAATTTAAGTGATTGTTTAGTTTCCTGATGCATGCTCAATAATCCAGGTAGAAAAATCGAAAAAAGTTCAATCTGGTCCTCTGGACATTAAAAAAAAAATGACCGAACCGAGGTGTACCGCAAACCCACCCACACAGACCAGTATTTGCAGTTTGACTCCCATCACCCTTTGGAGCACAAGTTAGGAGTCATCAGGACTCTGTATCACAGAGCAGACAGCGTCCCCACTAGCTCGGGAGCCAGGCAGAAGGAGAAATCCTACACAAGACAAGCTCTAGAGCAATGTGGATATCCTAACTGGGCCTTCCTGAAAGCAGAGAAGAAACCCAAACAGGACTCCAGTCAGCCATCAGATGAGAAGGAGGAACCCAGACCCAGACCAGTGGTCATTCCGTATGTTGAGGGGGTATCAGAGAAACTGAGACGTTTATTTTCTAAACATAACGTCCCAGTGGCTTTTAAACCCCAAAATACATTACGGCAAAAACTGGTTCATCCCAAAGATCCAGTCCCCCGGCACAAACAGAGTAATGTTGTGTATGCTGTTCAGTGTCAGGAGGGCTGTGATCAGTCTTACATCGGGGAAACTAAACAGCCACTGGCCAAAAGGATGGCCCAGCACAGAAGATCAACATCATCAGGCCAGGATTCTGCGGTCTACACTCATCTCCAGGCCAGCGGTCACTCTTTCAAGGATGAAGATGTTCACATCCTGGATAGAGAGGAACAATGGTTTGAGAGAGGAGTAAAGGAGGCCATCTTTGTGAAAAGAAATCGTCCATCAATAAACAGGGGTGGAGGCCTCCGGGTTCAACTGTCCCCCTCTTACAATGCTGTGATTGCTAGTATCACTCAGCCCTCTGTGAGTAGTAAACAGCCATCAGTGTGCTAATGATCCATTGTTAGGCTGATGGTCCTTCTTGACCATGTGATCAGCTGGTTTTGGTTGTCAGCAGCAAACTGGTTGATCCACTCTGTGAAGGTGCTATTTAAGAGACTGAGCTGAAAACAGCACCTCAGACTGAGGAAGTCTCTTGGATGAGAGACGAAACGTTTCTAGATTTTTTTGCTTTGTTTTTTTTTTTTTTTTTTTTTTTTAATGTCCAGAGGACCAGATTGAACTTTTTTGGATGATTGTTTAGTTATTTTATATTTTTTTAAATAAGGGGCAGATATAAGAATTTTTTTCTTCTTTCTGCACTCTTTTCATTCAATGTTTTCTTTTTGATGATTTTTTAAAATTTAGTTTCTTTTAAATGAATGAATAAATGAATTAAATTAAATAAAATGTTAAATGGCTTCAGACATCTGCTAAGTTCATGGCATAAACCAACAGGCGTGTTCCTGTTTTTAGTTATTTACATCACTTTATAATGTAGCTGTCTTTGTTTTTAATATATATAATTTTCAAATCATATGTTTTTTATGATTGTCTACTGTTGTACTGATAAATATCTTCTGGAGGGTAAACTATATCTTGGCTGCAAGTATCAAGCTGAGAAATCCTTTGTTTTCTACAACTGATAGTGGTTGGTCATTAATTATGATGAAGTTTAGCAACTTCTCTGTAAACATTTGAGCTCCGTGGTTTCAGCGACGTCTTCATCTTGTTCAATCCGACGCAGGCAGCCTGATTTGGGGCAGCCGCGCTCAGTCTGTCCCTCCTCAGAAATGGGCAGACTGAGCGGGGCAGATTGGACACGGCTGGCCGGGGTCAAGTCGCCTCTTTCCGGTTTGACCAAAAAGTAGTGCCCCGCTGAAGCCACGGAGCTTCAATGTCCTTCGTAAAACTAACTTTAACGTGGTGTAATGTGGCGCTATGGCTCCGCAGACATTGCATGATGCTGTCTTGTTTTGTGGTGTGTTTAGAGTAAAATACTTCCACACAGCGGACATGTTTCAATGAAAAGTTGGTTAGCTGTTAGCCACAGTGCTGCTAACTCAGTCCTTACGTTGTAGCTGGCTGCAAACTATGAACTGGATTTCCTGAATGTGATGTGGGTCTTATTACTCTGGGTTCATGAGACACGCCGCCGTTCAGGAAATCCATTCCATAGTTTGAAGCCAACTTGTATTATGGATCGGAAATGTCGGCAGGTGGATCGGAAAATCCGATACGTAAATTATGCTGGTATCGGAGGCCGATACCGATACTGGATCGGATCGGCCCCATCCCTAGTTTTGTTCAACTGTTGATTAGGGATGGGGCCGATCTGGTATCGGCCTCCAATACAGCATAATTTACGTATCGTAATAACTGGTGAATAACCAGTGTTAACTTAAACCATTTGAATTTTACATATTGAAGTTTTTTTTTTTTTTTTACCATTTAGTTTTTCTACAATGGAAACTAATTTTATGTTTAAATAGTTTATATGATGGTAAGGTCAACTAAAGTGGACTATGACAAATTTTGGCTTTGAGGCAATTTTGCACTATTTACCCAAGACCTTTCAACTCTAGTAATTATTTACCCTGCTAATTTCAGCCCAGTTGTGTTTCACTATGTTCTGAGGTTCAGGGTATACTAGGCAAATCAAGTCACTGATTTGTATTGCTTTACCTAAGCTACTAAGTGTTGCAGTCATAAATATATATAAAGACCAAGTGCTCCACTCTCAAGAGGCCACTCTTTCTTAGTTTGGAATTGAAATCAGCAGGAACTGCTTTATTTTTATTCCCTATGAATCAACACCTTATTGTGGTGGAGAGTTGGTGTGCCTGAATGATCCTAGGAGCTATGATGTTGGGCATGATTGCCCCTGATAAGGTCTCCCAAGATAAAACAGTCCAAGGTGAAAGACCAGAGAAAGAGGAATTCAGAATACTCGTATGGACAGAGAACAACAAAATAATTGATGTTCCTCACCCAGACATGGGTTACCAGGACCTCACACTGGAACTTGAACACTCAAACAAGATGGTGGACACACTCATTGAGGGAATCTGTCAAGCTGGAAAGTCCTATTGGACCTTGTTGGCTGGTAGGACTCTGGAGGTAATTGATGGGTATGGGCAGGCCATGTGAGCTGCAGCCCTGGCTGTTGCTGAGGTAAAAGCTCAAGGAAAGGTTTGGTCAGGGCTTGGATAGAGACTTTCGATCAGCTCAGAGAAGATTCTTTCAAACCAGCATGCGGCTGAAGCTGGGAAAGCAACACTTTACCAACACTGTCTAGAGTAGAGGTGGGGTGCTGTTGATCTTAACCACTGATGTCATTGGACAGTGGAAGGAATACTTCTGGGACCTTCTCAATCTCACCAGCACATATTTCATAGATAAAGCTAAGTCAGAGGATTTGGTGGTTGGTCTGTCCATAACCGGGGCTGAGGTCACAGCGGTAGTTAAAAAACTCTGTGGCAACAGGACTCATGGGGTGGAAGAGATCTTCCCCGAGTTGCTCAAGGATCTGAATAATGCTAGACTGTCTTGGTTGACATGCCTTTTCAAGGTTGTGTAGAGATTGGGGGCTTTGCCACTGGAATGGCAGACTGAGATAATGGTTCACCTCTTCAAAAAGGGGGTTGGCGAGTGTGTATCAATTACAGGGCTATTACTCTTTTTAGCATCCTCTGTAAGGACTATTCAGGGGTTCTGGAGAAGAGAGTCCAATTGATGGTCAAGTCTCATATTCAGGAGGAACAATATGGGTTCCTTCTCAGTCATGAAATACTGGACCAGCTCTTTGCACTCACTGGGGTCATGGAGGGGGCATTGGAATTTGCCCAGCCAGTCTACATGTGTTTTGTGAACTTGGAGGAAGCATTAGATTGTGTTTGTCAATACTGTTGGGGAGTACTCCATGAGTATGGGATTGAGGTCTGGTGCGACAGGTCTTTCAGTCCCTCTACAAGCAGTGCAAGAATTTAGTTTGCATTGCTAGCAGTAGTTCAGACCACTTTAAGGTGGGTGTTGTACTCAGTCAGGGCTTCCTACCACCAATTCTGTTCATAACTTTATGGACGTAAAAAAAACTAAACCAGCTGCTCACATGCTCAAGAAGGACCATCAGCCTAACAATGAATCCTGATGGTCCTTCTTGATCATGTGAGCAGCTGGTTTTGGTTGTCAGCAGCAAAACTGGTTGATCCACTCTGAGAAAGTGCTATTTATAAGACTGAGCTGAATACAGCACCTCAGACTGAGTAAGTCTTTTGGATGGAAGACGAAACGTTTCTACATTTTTTTTTGTTTTGCTTTGTTTTGTTTTTTGAATGTCCAGAGGACCAGATTTTACTTTTTAGATTTTTCTACATGGATTATTGAGCATGCATCAGGATATTTTATGGACGTAATTTTTAGTGCAGCCAGGCAGAAACCTGCTTTGGTGACCTTAGGTTTCAGTCTTTCCTATTTACAGATTATGTGGTCCTATTGGTATCATCATGCCATGATCTACAACTCTCACTGAAGCAGTTCACAGCCAAGTGTGAAATGGCAGGGCTGAGGTTCGGTACCTCTGTATCTGAAGCCATGATTCTCAGTTGAAAAAGGTGGGTTGCCCTCTCCAGGTTGGAAGTAAAGTGCTTCCTCAAGTGGAGGAGGTCCAAGCATCTTGGGGTTTGTTTATGAGTAAGGGAAAAAATTGTGCGTGAGATAGACTTGTGCAGCTTCCACGGTATTGTAAACTCTGGGCCAGTCTGTTGTAGTGAAGATGGAGTTGTGATGCAAGGTGAAGCTCTATGTTCATCAGCCGTCTGCATTCCTACACTCACCTATGGTCACAAATTTTGGGTTTTTAATGAAAAAAACAAGACCACATATACAAGCAGTCTGAGTTTTCCGTGCAGGGTCGCTGGATTATCACTTAGAAATATGGTGAGAAGTTCATTTACTCATGAGAGACTTACATCTTGGTGTGTGACAGCGTATGACAAAGGGCAATATCAAAAATTGTCTTGTCATGAGAAAATCCAATATTAAAACTTAGACTTAGACATTAAATAAATAATATAGTTGTAACTCTAGTTTAGAGATGGCAGTACTAAGAATAGCCAAACTTTTGGCCACAAGCTGAGAAAAAAAGAACTTTAAAAGAGATGATATGGGCTCTTTCATTTTAGAAATAAGTTTCAAGTGACAGACAGATAAATATACTATGGATATCAAACCTTACAAGTCCAATGTTCTTTTTTTTTTACATGGGGTTCCACTGTTTCCCCTAGATAACTTGCCATAGCACGGTGCTAATCTCATCTGTGATTTTTGTCGATGGGGAAGGGGGGAACACATTTGAGCTATGTGCTGTTTGTACACTTTTCGTGCCGGGGGGGGGGGGGGGGGGGGTCAGGGGCATGCACGCAGTTTGATTCGGTAGGTGGGGCGCTCAGATCTGTTGATGGGGCACGCCATCCCGCTTGCATAATGGTAGGGGACGGTTTAAATTGAGACAGACATGGACTCAGTTTATTTTTTAGTTAGTTCATGCTGCTTCCATATGGGTCCAGAAAAGAAGTAATGCTTGGTGAAAAACTGATGCTTTGAGCTTTAACAATGAGTAATACATTTACAAAATCTGGTGCCACTTTAAAATAAGGCTCCCCTTATAGATGGCTAATAAATAGTTTATAGAGCAGCACAGTGGCACAACTGGTAGAGCTGCTGCCTCTCAGCGAGCAGGTCCTTGGTTCAAACCCCGGTCCAGGGGCCTTTCTGGGTGGAGTTTGCATGTCCTCTCCGTGCATGCATGGGTTTTCTCCGGGTACTCCGGTTTCCTCCCACAGACCAAAAACATGCATGTTAGGCTGATTGGTAACTCTAAATTGTCCCTAGGTGTGAGTGAGAGAGTGAATGTTTGTTTGTCTCATTTGTCTCTATGTGGCCCTGTGATGGACTTGCGACCCGTCCAGGGTGTACCCCGCCCCTCGCACAGTGACTGCTGGACATGGGCACCAGCGACCCCCGTGACCCAAAATGGAATAAGCGGGTAAAGAAAATGGATGGATGGATGGATGGATGGATAGTTTATAGATACGTTATTAATTTATTGACAAACACTTTATTAATGATTGTTTATTATGCATTAATTAAGAGTGACAGAGAAAACTGACCAGTTTCTTGTCAAATAGTGAGCCAAATGTATTCACCTGTATATTTTATCTAGAGTTGTTATGGGAAACATTTCAGACAAGTTACTACCTTGTAAGCACAATAAGCATTTGTAAACCTATTTTTTTAGGATATAATATTAGTTGTAGATACTTATAAAGCAGTGATAAAAGTACAATATTATATGCTAAATAAATAGGTTTACAAATGCTTATTGTGCTTACAAGGTAGTAACTTAGTCTGAAATGTTTAATATAATAACACTATAGATGAAATATATAGGTGAACAGATTTGGCTCACTATTTGGCAAGAAACTGCTCAGTTTTGTCTCTCTGTCAACCTTAATTAATGCATAATAAGCAGTTAATTAATTATAAAGCATTTATAGAGAAATTAAGCCATCTTTAAGGGGAGCCTTATTGTAAAGTGGTACCTAAAATCAGAATGTCTAGATAACACTGCAGCCATAACTATGATAAGTGGTTACTGTATGAGGCCTGGAGCAAAAATAAAAATGAGCATTTGCTGTAACTTTACCATTAAGTCCAGTGATTTGTACCATTTGCTGCTCCCTGTTTAAGCATATTTTTCTGCTCTTGAAATTTTTTGTAACCCCACGTAAGTTGTTTCATGTTTACCAGCACTGGTTAAAAATCATAGATTTGTCATATACACTCTGCAAAGCCAGAAAATCTATGCCACTCTTCTAGTTTGCGTTTTGTTTCATTTTAGCAAATGTGAGTAAATGCTCTTCAGCACAAGAAAATGTTCTGAAATTTTTTTAGTTTTGAATACAAACAGTTTATTTGAGTTTTTTGAAGTAGTTGCCAAAATGTTTAAAAAAGACTTGTTGGAAGAAAACATGGAGTGAAACAAAGCATGAAATGTAGAAGTTTTCATCTTTTTTTGTTTGGTTTCAGTGTTATTAATTTGTTTTTGAAGTCATTGCATAAAACAGAAAATGTTTCTGTACTGACAGGGACAAGGTAGGAATACTAATATTTCACTTTTTACATGTTTTTCCTGCAGACATGGCTGCAGTGACCTATTCTGGACGCTGACATTATTTAGCCAGGCTGTCAACCACGCTGACAGAGACTGCAGACAGAGCTGCAACATTAAAACAAAATGGATTACGTGGCCATGATGGTGGTGTTCTGGACATGTAGCTGTCCAAATTTAACTACCAAGAGGGTTCAGTTGTTATTCTGGTAGCCACTGTATTCAACATCATAACTCGGTATTTCCAGGCTACAAACACAACTCAATGTAGTGAACTTTGTGGACGCACTAATCATTTTGCTGTATTCTGCATTTCCACAGATAAGATAAAACTTTATTGTCTACCACAACTGTGGCAGAAATTCTCCTTTGCCATGTTCTACATTCATCATACACACACAAGAACCACCAATAGAACATAAAGCTTGATAACGGATTTTTATTTGTAGCTATTTGTGGGGGGTTTTCAGTCATTTCTACTACAATAATATTTTTAATGTGGAATGCTTTAATTTAACTTTTGAAATAATCAAATATTAATCAATGGTAATAGTTGATTAAAGGTTACTCAGCACATCACAAGCACAAATATTAGCAACTAAAGCTGTTACATTTATGGTGAAATAACGTCATCAAAGGCTGAATAATATGCTCACACTTAGAATTTTCCCATTAATATTGACAGATTTTTAAAAATTATTTAATTTATTTAATCTCTGAAGTAATATACATACTTATCTTTATTGCCAACAAATTGAAGTGCTTAGAACCTAATAAAATACAATGACAATCAGTGGGGCAGCGTCTCATTCTCTACTGTAACCGAACTACCAAATAAATAATTACATATTGACAGCGACATGTGAGTCGGCGGTGCCATCGTCTTGCTGTCCTGAGGCCGCATGTTTGAGCCTAGGTTGCCTTTTTGTATTTTTTACTGTGCTTTTGAACTCTGCTTTGAAAAATAACTTAACCACACAAAAATTGCACGTGTAATAATAGCATTTTGGGGCCACAGCGGCCTTTGAAAGTACACAACCATTTCTGATTTGTCCAAGAGTCGTGTGTGACGTGCAGCTGGTGGAGTGTGTTAATGTTGATGTCACAGCATCTGGCTGCTCTCATCCTGTTAGCTCTGCCTGCTATTACACCCCCCCCCCCCCATTGCTTTTGCAAACTGCTGTGCGCCATGCTCATTTTAATACTCCAGACTCATTTGACCGTCTTTATAGACTTATCATATTAAACATTTATCGCAGCAATTTCCCTAAACCAAGCATGTTTATTCAACACTTAAGGGACCGCAGCACGGCTCCTTTTAGCATACCCCCCACCCCCACGCTTTCTTCTTCACCCCCACCCTTATCATCACACACACTTATTTTCTCTTTTTCCTCGTTTCTCTCTCCCTCTTACTCCCTCAGTCTCTGTTGCTTTCTGTACATAAACCCCTCGTCTCTTATGAGGCATCGCCTGAAAGAGAAAAAAAAGAGGTATTTTTGTACAGTTTCCTCCCTTTTTCATTTCTGGTCATCCTTTTCGACTGTGGCTGGGTACACCAGGGGGACTAATGCTCAGGGAAGTCAGGCAGTAAATCAGGCACAAATGTATTCTGAGCATTTAGCACTTTAGATGAATTGAGTTTCAATTTAATCATCTGATCAAACACTTATTAGCATAATCACTCATGGGGATGGATGGTTTTGATAAAGAGACTCAGAATAACCCATGATCGACCTCATCTATGTGTTACTGAGCGTCCTGTCAGCACTCTGCAACACACAACATGCATAACGGCTACATGCTCCCAGGGACCCATGCAGGGCCTTGACTAAATTACCTCCTTTTGTGCAGACAATAGAGGCAGTTCTCTATTTTTGTCAACAGCGCAGCCGCTGCAAAATGATCTTTTCACCGCTAGATTACCCTGCAATCAAATGCTTTGCTGCCAAGCCCCTGTGCCCTCTTACGTGATCCTGCACAAGATGGCTTACTGCAGCATTACACCTTGCACTGAGCAGAGGAGGTTAGGGAATCTAGGAATACCACAAAGTGCTAAGATTATTGACAATGCACTCAGTCTCACACCAGGCTGGGGGGGATCGATGAGTGGCTGGAAGGGCATAAATCAGACCCCTGTGGCTCCACTCCACGTCACACCTAAACCCACCCACCCAGCTCCTTCAATTAAAAACACACATGTACAGGCGGTGCATGCGCACAAGAGCTTACGCACACTCTGCAAGACCTTTCAACGTACTGCAGAAATATGTCTGTAAATTAACACGAACGCCAGCAAATGCACAAATAAAGAGCGTAAATTGCACACACTCTCACGCCTTACCAACAAGATGACAGCGCTTTAAAAATGGCGGGCTAAAAATAGGCATCCCAAACTTGGTCTTAAATCTCAGCATCTGTGCCAGGTTTAAAAATAAGGAGCAGTGTCGAGAAACCAAGCTGGACCCATTTGTCTTTCTGTCACACTGTCTATCCAGCTCTG